GGGGGGGGGGGGGGGGGGGGGGGGGGGGGGGGGGGGGGGGGGGGGGGGGGGGGAGGAGACAGACAGACAGACAGAGACAAAGAGAGACAAGAGACAGAAGAGGGAGGGATATTAGATAGATAGACAGACAGACAGACAGACAGACACATACACACACTGACAGATACACAGACAGACAGACAAACAAGCAGAGACAGAGTGTTAGATTTTATACTAATGGATACTATTTCCTTCTTTTATATGTGATTAAGATGCAAGGGTTGCTAACAATTCTTGGGTCAGTGAGACTCGTGCTTCAATTCTCAATACTTTTTGTATAAAACGTAACTGGAACTGAAGAGTTAAGAAACTTTTCCATTTTAATATTTGACTTGATTGATTAGTAGCATTTTCACAATTTTGACAATAATCCCTTAAACAAAGCATGTGGACAATATTAGTACAGTGTCTACTGTACTGCGTAGACTCCTATAGTGTGCCTGTAAACCCACAGGATTTTTAAAAAATTAAATTGACAAACTCTCACAAGGTCTTGCAAGATCACAAAATCTTGCAAGACTTTGGCGTTCTCTCAGGTGTCTTGTGGGATTTCAGAAAAGGACACAACTTTCAGCATTATTGCACAAATTAGAATATTTTCTTTTCATAAAGAAATGGCTGAAATGTTGTGTGATTGTCAAAAATTACAACAATTTAGGAATATTAATCTTGATTTTGTGCTTGTCTTCCAAGTAAACTTAAAAAGACACAGTGGGTAGTTTTTAAAATTCTGCTCACATGATAGCAATAGCACTTAGACTTATATACCGCTTCACAATGCTTTACAGCCCTCTCTAAGTGGTTTACAGAGTCAGCATATTGCCCACAACAACCTGGGTCTTCGTTTTACTGGAAGGGTGGAAGGCTGAGTCAACCTTGAGCCAGTGAGAGTCGAACTGCTGCAGTTGACAGAATTAGCCTGCAATACCGCATTCTAGCCACTGCGCCATCACGGCTCAGTGGGTGATTCTCTCCCTATCACCCCACCTCACAAGGTAATTTTGAATACCTACATTTGATAACTGATAAAGAACACCACTGGACCTTCTTCCAACGGCTGCAGATAAGCCAGTGGTTCACACGTTTAATTAAGTCAGCAAGATGATCTGGATCAGACTTCATTATTTGATCAAATTCTGCAAACTGAACACAGGGTGGGGAGGAAATGCCATTTAAGACAACCAACAAGAATGTTGACAGATGGAGAGTTCTGTTGTAAACAGAATGTTGCAGTCATGACAATGTGTAGAGAGACCCCAGTGGTTGCCATGAGGTTCTGAGCCCTAGTCATGATCCTTTATAACATCTGGAATATGCTTATTTTTATATATTTGTCACCCAGTACAAATTGTGACTACCTATTCTGATAGTAATATAGAGAGTCTCAGCTTCAAGCTAGGGATGAAGTTAAAGAACAGAACTGAAGCAATAAAAAAGTCTTATTTATCTGCCTTTTAGGGAATATAGTCTTAGTAAATGATTATAGGGAGGTTAACCACCACACTGAGCACAGGAATACCACTCTTAGCACAAGTAGAGCTATAAACAAAATATTTTCTACCCATACATTAAACATAGAGATGGCCATGTCAATTCAGATGCTAGCAGTGATCAGATTACGATGCATCTTCTTATGAAATTACTTTCAAAAAAGGTAATGCTATCCTTTATCTCAATTATTTTGCAGGCAAGTTGAAGAGAAATTAATTTTAAAAAATCAATTTGTGCTCATTTAAACTTCAGAGATATCAACACTACTTACCTTGCCAGGTCTAAAGAACACTTTGGTTAATCCAAATTTATAATCTAGTTCATTTAAGCCAAGGGCTTTGAAGAGAGCCTGAAAGAAAAGAAAGACAGTTTTACAAATCCTCTGAAGAAACGAAAATATCAATGAATATCAACCCACCATGAAAAGGTTGCATTCTGAATATAAATACCTTGCAGAAGAGTCTCGGATCCAGACGGGTCAGTTTTGAAGGCATATATTTTTTATACATGTTATAAAGTTCATGGAATGAGGCTCGTGATGGGAAACCACCTTGCATCAAGTCCAAAACAGACACCATGCCTAGAGTAAAAGATAGGCAACAAAAGAATCGCCACTAAATTAAGATGACATGATTGTTAGTCTTTATATTTTGAGACTGGTGTAAACATAAAAAATTAGCTGAAACAAGAAGCATAAGCCCTTATAAAGTCATTGTGGTTGAAGGTGGAAAATGAGCTTCATGTCTGAGTGAGTCTCTGTTGACGTTTCCAAATATTAGCCCCAGCGGTGGGATTCAGCCGGTTTGCACCACTTCAGCAGAACCGGTAGCTAATTTTTTGTTGCCCAGGCCCAGAATGGACTTCCGGAAGCGGCATCCACACAGAGAACCGGTTGTTCATGTATCTGAATCCCACCACTGATTAGCCCTAATCTCTTTCAACTGGTTTAGCCAAAAATCGGTGGAGTAAAAGGCAGGCAAACAAATAAATAAAATTTTGTTTTCACTTCTAAACCAGAAAAAAAATAAAAACTAGATGAAGAATAATGTAATTCATAGATATTTTTTCACAATGTTCTGGCAACCTTTTATGGCTGACTTTTGGCCGACATCAGGATTGAAAAGTTGATGTTTTATGGATTTATAATAAGGAATGGGATATGGGATGAAGAGATATCTGTTTAACCTTACGGGGGTGAAGAATTATTACATTTGTTTATTCTTATTGTGACGAAGGTTTGATTCACTTCTATATTTCTTTTCTTTTTCTTTAGTCTCTCTTTTCTTTTTCTTCTTTTTCTTTCTCTTTTCTTACATTTTTCTTTCCATTCTCTTTCTCTAAATTTATTTTAGTTTTTATTATTGTAATTAAAATCCTTAATAAAAATTATATATTAAAAATAATATAATTCATGATTAAGAGAGAGGGAAAGAACTTCATTACTTCCCTCGTCTCCTTTCCTACAGTACAGTCTCAGTCTTCAGATTATCAGCCAAAAATTGAGTCAACAAAACACTAATTAAGTGAAGATGTTAAGGATTTCTGATTTGCTAAATTAAACTTTAAACATACTGTAACTTGACATGACAAGCAATAGGAATATTTGCCAAGTTGAACAGATGCTTGAAGCCTCCGGGATGCAAAAATTGTAAAGAAATTAATAGAAATACTAGGATAGCAGCTAATGAAAACAAACAGTTTAACTTGAAATAAGGCTTATTTCAGGACAATTATAATCATTAAATTTCAAAATTAGCTCTGTGAAATTGTTACTTTTGTTAGTTAATTAGGTCTTAACCATCTTTAAATTCTATATTAATGTCATCTAGTCCTGTTATGTCAACAAGGACACCTGAACATCTTCCAGATCTCTCAGCTGGGAAGAAAAGGATGAGATAGATAGAATAGACTGGATAGAGATCACCTACTAATTGCTTAAATTGTACTATGGCTATAATGCACTATAGGAATAGTACAATACTAGGAGGTACACTATCGAGTGTCCCAGAGCGAATAGGAATCCCCAAAATGTCGACTGCAATCCTGAAGAACCTTCCAAGAATTGTCACCCAATTACATGTGATGGTAGGGAAATAAATAAATACATGGGAAGTCATCACTTCCTCTTTGAAAGAAATGAGTGGTTCAGAAATAAGAAATGTATTTATAATACATTATAAACATAATGTATTGTGTTTATAATGTATTCTCATCTACAAAGTACAATTATTTTATTTTTATTTTGTGGAAGGAGAGGAATTAAATGAACATCTGAACTTTACTAAGAACATTCTACCACAATAGTTTAGAAATAGCTAATATGTTGATACTATTGAATGGTAGATTGATAATATAGTGTCCAAAGTGCAATCATTACAGCTGAATCCAGTTTTTGCAGTGGTGGGGAATGCAACAGTTCAATGATGATGGAAAGATGGATGCTGCACTGTTCAGTTTCCTTTGGGTTGTAGGATGGGTTTTGATCTTCAGGGTGGCTTTCACATATTACTAAATAAATTCTCATTTTAAGTTCATAGAATACCACTTTTTAGTTTATTTTAAAAAAATATTTTAACAGTACTATCTACAGATGGTTATTTTGCAGAATAATTTCACTACAGCAATAGAGCAGTGAAAAGGTCACTCGTTTTTTTCTGACTGAAAAACTCTTATACAAAGCACTGTAATTTGGTTTTGCCAGAATCCTCATTTGCATATTATTAGAGATCTAAAGTATCATCTTCAGAAGATACACTAAATTACCTGAACACTGAAGCTGAGAGAGGATTTGAACACCTTCAAATTGGTGACTGGTCATTCTTAGATTTGGTTTAATGCAGCGAATAAAGCTTGACCCCTATTGTAAAGGCAGAAGATTAGCATAATCATGATTAAGAATACTTGAAAAGGATGTTAGAGCCAACTCATCCCACAATATTCCTATCTAATCTCACCAGTTAGATACTTTTTCCTTAAAATATTTTTATTAAATCTCCCCACCTTTTTTAATAAACTCAGATGCAATAAATATGTTGAAATATTTAACTCTGCCCTTGTTTTTAAACCTCTATAAATATTGTATGCAAGCTTATGCACAGAGATTGTCTTTCCATAAGACCATTCATGTCATACCAAGCTTAATACCTAGCAGAAACACGTAACTTCTCAGTTGCCTGACCTCTACACAAAGGAATCAAGAGCCTTTGGAAAATCAGGTGTCCTATGGTTGTAGCAGTGTACAAATGCTGACAGGAAAGAAGATGGCTGCTCTTCTGAGGTGATCGTCATCAGGCCACGGAGGTTTGGAAAAGAGGGCTGGGAGTATTGTTAAAGCCACTATAGTGCCCATGGTGGAGAGATTAGGAGCTCAGTTCATGCTTAACTATTTTTTTTTTGTTTAAATGTGGAGAAATGCATGAAAGAATCAATTTCATTTGGAGGGATAAGAGGAGTTAATTGCAATTATCTATTCAAAGCCATTTAAAAGGGAGACAAAAGGAGGAAAGAGAGGAAAATGTTTATACTTAGAGCTCTAAACCCAGGGTGGGCAACTATGGCACTTTTATGACCTCTGGACTTCAACTCCCAGAATTCCTCAGCCAGCATAAACTGGCTACAATGAATTCAGAACCATGGCTGATTGACGTTTAACCTCTGGAACTGGAAGCAAAATGCACAGGGCTGGCTAGAGTGCTCTTCTGCATCATTTTTTTGCTATCCTGCACATTTCATCGAGGACCACAGCCTAGCAAGAACTTCCTCCAGTTGAGCAGCATGTAAATTCTGTTGGATTGAGGCCTATACAAGGCTTAGTGTGGCATATGAAGCGCAGCATTCCAAAAATGAGCAGGACCACAAAATAAAATGCACTCAATCAAGA